CCAAGATTTGTTCAGAGTTGAGGGAGAGAGGGAGGGGAATTTTCCTATTCAGAATGAGTTCCCTGCTTTAACAAATACAGAGAAGAGAAGTTTGTCCATTGCTCCTTCTAAGGAGGAAATAAAAAGGATAGTTTTCATGATGGGAAAGTTTAAAGCCCCTGGCCCGGATGGCTTGAGTGCCATTTTCTTCCAGAGTCAATGGGGGATCATTGGTGAATCTGTCTGCAAACTGGTTGAGGATACCTTCTTTAATCCTGAGAAGGTGAGGGATATAAATGGAACTTTAATCTGTTTAATCCCCAAAAAAGAGAGTCCAGAAAGTATGAAGGATTTTAGACCCATAAGCTTGTGTAATGTGGTTTATAAAATCATCTCTAAAATCATTACTGGTAGATTGAAAAATCTATTGCTGAGGATTGTGTCCCCTAATCAATGCAATTTTATCAAAGGTAGGCAAGGTAATGATAATATTATCATAGTGCGGGAGATCATTCATTCTATGAGAACCAAAAAGGGTAGTAAGGGGTGGATGATGATAAAGGTTGATTTAGAAAAGGCCTATGATAGACTAGATTGGAATTTTGTTCTTGAAACTTTGAATGACATTGGCCTACCTGATTCTCTGTGTCAATTAATCTATAATTGTATTTCTACTGCTTCTATAAGCCTGTTGTGGAATGGGGTGGTTACTAAGAGAATATATCCTGAGAGAGGCATCAGGCAAGGGGACCCTATTTCCCCTCTTATGTTTGTTCTTTGCATGGAGAAATTTTCCCAACTTATCCAGATGGCTGTTGACACTAAAGCCTGGAAGCCTATTTTGTTAAGAAAAAAGGCTTCCCCTATCTCTAATCTCCTTTTTGCAGATGATATTATCCTGTGTGCTGAAGCCAGCTTGGAGCAAGCCCATGTTATCAATCAGGTGTTGAGGATCTTTGCAGATACTTCAGGTCAGAAGGTGAGCAAGGATAAGACCAGAATTTTTTTCTCTAAGAATGTTTGCTTCCAAAAGGCGAAAGAAATTAGTGAATCTTTGGGGATGGGGATAACCTCAGACCTGGGAAAGTACCTTGGTGTCCCTATTCATCATAAAAGTACCTTGGTGACTAGGAATTTCAATTGGTGTTCTTCTCAAAGTCAAAGGAAAACTCATCTGGTGAGCTGGAGCAAGGTTTGTAGACCCAAAAAAGAGGGAGGATTAGGATTCAGAGTCAAAAAAACTAGTCAATAAAGCCTTCTCCATGAAACTGGGCTTTGACATTCTAGCTAACAAGGAGAATTTATGGGTGAAAGTGCTTCAAAGTAAGTATAAAGTTGAAGATTCTTTTAAGCTTGATCTCAGGAAAGGCAACTGTGTTTCAAATACTTGGAGAGGTATCCAGAAAATGTGGGACCAGGTATTAGAGGGGTCCAGAATTATCATTGGAGATGGCTCAAATACCTCCTTCTGGTTTGATAGATGGGTGCCCAATGTTGGTAGATTGTATGACTGGGCCTCTTCCAATATTCTTGAAGATCTTAGAAGCTGGAAGGTTGTTGACTATATCCAAGGGGGTAGTTGGGATTGGAACAGGTTCAACTATTTCCTAAATAATGATATTCTGGAGGCTATAAGGAAAATTACCCCTCCTTCTGGCTTTGTTGGGGTAGATAGGGTAATATGGTCCTTATCCAACTCTGGGACTTTCACTGTAAGATCAGCCTACAGCTCCCTTTCCACTTCATCCATGAACTCTTGTCCTTTGAATTGGGATATTATTTGGAAATGGGAAGGTCCTCCAAGGATCAAACTCTTTCTTTGGCTCTTAGTTGGGAACAAGTTACTTACTAATGCAGAAAGAACCCGTAGACACATGACAGTCTTTGACCTATGTCCTAGATGTCAGGTGTTAGTGGAGGATATTGATCACATATACAGAAAATGCCCTTGGGTTCGGGAAGTTTGGAATCTTTGGGTTGATAACAGTGAGATGGTGCCTTTCCTTGAGAATGATATGGTTACTTGGTTGAATAGGAATCTGGGCAGGGAGAACAGGAATAGAGATTGGAGGCTGAAGTTTGGTGTGATTTGTTGGGTGGTTTGGAAGGACAGAAATAACTTAGTTTTCAATGGCAAAACCCTTTCTCCTCAGGGGATTTTTTCACAAGCTTCTCTGTTTGCAGCCAACATCAGGGAGGCTAATAATATTATGTCTATTGCTGGTCTTGCTGTTATAAACCAGGTAGAGATTCTGGTTAGCTGGAGTCCTGCTTGGCCTGGTTGGATCAAGATTAATACTGATGGATCCTATTCTGAGAATTTGGCTCGGGCTTCTTGTGGGGGAGTTGCTAGAGATGAGGCAGGAAAGTGGATCATAGGGTTCTCCAAGAGATTATACCCTGAATCATCTTTAATGGCAGAACTTTGGGGTCTCTTAATTGGTCTTGATTGGGCTTGGGTGAAGAACTTTAAGCAGGTTGTCCTTGAAAGTGATTCTCTGGTGGCCATTCAACTAGTAAAAGATGGCTGTGTCAAGTCCCATCCTTGTTATGAAATTACATCCAGAATCAGATCAATGCTGGATAAAGATTGGAGGGTTGAAGTTTGTCATGTATATAGAGAAGGTAATCAAGTGGCAGATTGGATGGCTACAAGTGGCAGCCAAGCTGTTTGGGATACCCAGTGGCATAGTAGAATTCCTACTGGCTGTGAAAAACTAGTCTTAGATGATAGGAGGGGCACTTTGATGCCCAGAAACTTTTCTGTGTAATTTTCTTTTCTTTCCTTTGTATACAAAAAAAAAAAAAAAAAAACAAACAAACAAAGTAATCGAAAATATAAAAAATGTACAATTTGGCTCCTGCTTTTTTTATCGCATCAGCAGGGATTTGTAATAGATATCTGTCTTATTCTAAAAAAATGTACAATTGTAATAGATATCTGAATACTAAAAAAAAATTTATAATTTTCTTGTCAAATTATAATCTATTATAGTAAGTTAGTAAATTGTATTTGTTTCATTCTTTTGTTTACTGTTTGCTTGATATAACATTTGCCTCTAGTTTGTGAAACAACTCATGGCAATAACATATCTGTCTCATTCATGGTGAATACTAAAAATATTTAATCATTTTATGTTTGGGACAACATTGCTGAATACTAAAAGTATTATAATTTGCTTGCTTACCAAAAAAATATTATAATTTGCTTTTCAAATTATAATCTATTATAGTAAGTTAGTAAATTATATCTGTCTCATTATATATGTCTCATCTCTCACCAGGTTTGTGATGGTGTGTCATTTCTTTTATTTTAATTTACACAATTTGTATAAATAGAATTTACTCTAAAATTTCTTATTTGATATTATGTATACTACATATTCTCTTTAAGTTAAATAAATAGTAATGCTGGAGATTATCTTTGTGCTGAAATTTTTCATGACAGTGTCTTCGTAAAGGCTTTCCTAGCTATATATATCGTTTTGTAATTTGGGTTTTCTTTTTCTTTTTCTTTTTTGGATAACTGTAATTTGGGTTTCTAGTTTTAGTGTACATGTATATAAATCACATTCTTAATTGTCTCATTCATGGTGAATACTAAAAATATTTAATCATTTTGCGTTTGGGACAACATTGCTGAATACTAAAAGTATTATAATTTGCTTGCTTTATCAAAAAATATATATTAAAATTGTTTGTGAAATTATAATCTATTATAGTAAGTTAGTAAATTATATATGTCTCATCTCTCACCAAATTTGTGATTGTTTTGTTTTTTTGTACCTTTTTTTATAGGCATAGAAAATGGACTCTACTCCAAGTGCAAGTGGTAATGCTATTGTTAGCATACCAAGTGACCACAATCAACCTCAAGTAAGGGATGAAAAATAAGAAGAAGTAACTGATTTTGCAGCTGCAGCTACTACTGATTCTGCAGATGCAGCAAATTCTATAGTTGCTGCTGATAGTAAAAATTCAATCATAGAAAAAAAAAGGCGAAAAACATCAACTGTTTGGAATGAGTTTCATGAAGTTACTTTCCCCAATGGTCAACGAAAAGCAGTTTGCATTATGTTGACTCTTTCTTGTCTGTCATTTTTTGTTTCTTGTGAGAAATATAAGTGCATTAAAAATGGAACATTTTCTGCTCTGTACAATTATTTTTTTCGCTGAGTATCTGCCTTGGGAGGCCTACAAGGCCTATAGGCCATATCAAGCTTTTTATTTTTTTAGAATAGGTCAGGGCTGGCCTATAAACGAAGCATTTAATAGGCTAATAGGTCAGATAAGCTCAACTTTTTTTTACGTAGACTTAGGCCAGGAAGGCCAAAGCTTGGCCTAACCTGGCTCATTTATACCCCTAGGGGTCAATATAAAAATATGCATAAGTTTAGGGACTATTTTGAAAATAAGCAAAATGAAGTCTAACTTGAATTAGATGTTATAATAAAATTGTTTAGTAAATTTAGTGGGTTTAAAGTGATCTTAGATTAGTCTAATGATGGTTAGATTAATTATTAAAAATAGGTCAAAGTTCAATTAAAACTAACCAATTAGAATTAATATAAGTCAATTAGTGTTAAAAAGTTAAATAAAATAGTCTTAAACTTATATTTGATTGTATAATTAAATCATTTGGGAAAGAGAAATTATACTCTTATGCTACATAAGACTCTTATCTCAATTTACACTAACATAAAAAGTCGTGCCTCTCTTTTCTTTCTTTTTTCTTTCTTTAAAAATTGATGGGCTCCATTTAATTTATCTCACAACATGAGATAGCTTATCTACGAGAGAAGTAAAACCCTTTGGGAAAAACTATAAACTAAAAGTATTCTTGGTTAGTTTTAATTATGATTTGAATAATTTAAATAAATGCGTCAAAGAAAGTTTAACTAGTAGCCAATCATATTCACTTTAATTCAATAAAGTCAATTAAATTGGTAGAAAGCATTTCATTGGTTGTTTCAATGTTATAAGTCGGTCATCTTTCTTGGTCTTCCATTCCTACGCATATCATCTTATCCTCTTCCAAATTAGAACCGTGAACCATAGGAAAGCAATAACAAGGTAAGAACTCCATGATTTAGCCACTTTTAGGTCTTGATTTCTTCACAAAACTTCAAGCTAGTGACCTAAGGAACCTAACCTACCAACTTGCTCATCCTTAGGAGCTGTATATGAAGAGTTATCCCTCCATATGTTCAGCGACCAGCAGCTGCCCTCTTGGTGAAATGAAGTGTTTTCATGTCCTTTTGATGAGAAATTGAACAATTAGCTTCCTAGAAGTGTTGTAAGGTATTTAACCTATCATCTAGTGGTTGTTTCTCCTAGTTTTCAGTTCTGGTCTTGTGTTTTAAGGGCTGTATTTGATGATTTTAAAGGAGGTTTTTAATGAGATTATATGGGGGATTTTGTTGGTTGATGAGTTGTTGTGATGGATTGGTTTGTTCTTCTACAAAATGGAATTGAAATCTCAAAAGGGATGAGTTTAATGAACCCTATACGGTTCAGATTTTGTGTGTAAAAACATGCACACCAAGTGTTTGTATTAATGTCAAGAAGAAATTAGAGTCATTAGGTGATATATTGATGAACCAAGTCATGAAATAGGTTGTTTAATTGAAAGAAAATTAAAGAACCTCAAACTAGTAAAATCGGTCATCGTGTGGTAAAATAGGTAATGGATGTATTTAATAAGTTGATATGTGGATTTATAAGTGTAATATGATTTAGAGTTAGTTTGCAAAAAAGAATGAAGAGTAGAAATTGCAAAAGAGCTATATGGACCTTTTTTGATCAATTTGAGGCTGTTATGTTAAAAAAATCATATCTGGAGCTATATGACTTCAAATGGAGTGTGATTTACACCAAATTAAAGTCTTATATCTCTATTATAACATATTAAAATTTCAGGTTAATCGGAGTTGAAATGAATTTTTCGTGATTAAAATGGCACATGATGTTAATGCTGTAAAAGTGTGTGCATATTTCGGCCCTTTAGAATTAATTGTGTAAATTAAGTGTTTAATTCATTAACTATGTAAAACAATGATTCTTAGGACATTTAAGGGTGAATGGTTAGTATTTGAGCAAAAGATAAAGTGTGAAATCATAATTAAGTCTTGTATGTAGATTATGTTTATGCTAGAGTTTGGATGAAAAAGTTATGTAATAATTTATGTAAGATTACTTAGTGATCAAACAAGGAATTAACTAACTTATATGAATAGCAAAACAAGTCAAATTCTTAGAGTTACTAAGTGGTGCAATTCATCCACTATAGGATTAATTGACCTAGGAATGAAATTAAATTCATAAAGTGTTTGATTACATCTAGCAAGTAAATTTAAGTATATGTTATGAGTCTGGAAACTTGTGTTAACTTGTAGTTATGAAAGATGTGTCAATATATATTAAATTTTGAAAACATTGGGGTAATTGTCTTTGACTTGTGTGGTGGCATAAATTGGTATTAATTGTAATTTGATGGTACATTAGGTTCAAGAACAAGTTTTAGAAGCATTGGATTAAATCCGTGAAATTCAAGTAAGCATTGGATTTGAGCTTTTTACAGGTAAGCCCTTAGTTTATGATTTTTCTTCGTCTTTATTGTTCCACCATGGTCCATTAAGGATGATGGTTAGATTATATATATAATTGACAGTGAGATAGTATAGATGCATACATGTGCATTCATATAGATAGATATATTGATGATGTGTACACTTGCTTTGTCATCTTATTCTACAACATTCTAGGTCCTTCGCACAAGAATAAACCGTCCAACCAAGGCCAAGGTGACTAGGATAGCTTACTTGGCATTTTGACCACTTTAAGACTTTCAAACTTAACAACCATTGGTCCATTTGTTCAAGACTAGTCAACCTTGATTCTTATTGGTTAGTCAACTTTTAACTTTGACCTTTAAGAATATAAAGCATACAAGGTCTCAAAGAATCAATCATATATCAAAAATCATGCAAAGAATTCACAAAGTTAAGTTATATTACTAACTTAACAACTTTGCATTCAACTTTGACCTAAACCAACTTTCATTGGTTATTAATTTTCCTTACTTTGCCCAATTTTTAGAAATTAATCTAAACATGGTTTGATCAAGATAAGATAACTTTGAACCCACAAAATTAATCACAAAATTTAATTACATCATCAAAATCAACCTTTGACTTCACCTTGGTCAATTACCAAATTAATACTGACTTTTCACATAATGACATCTATGTCCCCACATATACCTTATACTTATCTTAGGGTCCTATTAGACTTGTCTGACATGAACTGTATTCTTAATTTGATTATCATGTCAATTACATGATTTACCATTTATCGATTACTTGAATACATGTTTAAATCTCATTTAAATACTTAATTAATTTACTGTCAATTATTTGACAGTGATGGTTGTTATAGTATCCAAATTGAGGTCGTGTGTTTTTTTCCCCTCCACTTAGAATTTTTTTCACGTTAAAATAAATGTGTCACTTCTTCCCTTTACTCTTTATTTTATCGCAGTTGTGTGTGTTTTTTAAATTGCAAAATTTTCAATAAACTCAATTCATCCCTCTTGAGTTCATCCCGGACCAACATATTGCCCTTGAAATATTTATGCATGTTTAGGGTATGTTTGAATTCTATTTTTTACATTAATTTTTTAATTTTTAAAATAAAAAATTTGTTTGATAATACATATTTTATAAAATTAGTTTTAAATATTATTTCTACTTTTTAGAATCAAATTTAGAGAACCACATTGATTGTTTCTATTTTGTGTTTTGATTTTTAATTTTCAAAACAATAAAAAGATAGGAAAGAGTCATTTCATTAAGGGAAAATGTTTCTGCAGTTAATGCAGATAAGTTATCTATATTTATTCTCGAAACGACGTCGTTTTGGTATTGAAATCTTAAAAAATTATAATATAAAGACTATTATAATCTTGAAATAAATTAAAATTACAAAAACACTATGATTTCCACCCAAAACGACGTCGTATTGGTATTACTGCAAATAACTTATTTACAGTAACTGCAGAAAAAACGAACCCGATGAATGTAGCTGCATTTGTTCAATGCAGATAATTATTTTACAAAATAAATTAAAAAAAAATAAAACACAATCACGCAGGCCCTAAAGTTATTGTAATGCACCCAATGAATGTAGCTCAGTTGGTAACATAGACTGAATAGGTGGACAGAGAATCTAAGTTCGATTCTCACCAAATACATCTTTGAAAAAGGACAATGAGTTTTTACCTGTGATTAAGCCTCTACTCGAGTTAATCTTATAACTAGCTCAAAGAGTTAAAGCTTATGACCGACTTGCCTGATCAAAGAGCTAATTATAGTGGGTATAAAAAAAATTATTGTAATACTTCTTCAATAACTTAGCACGTGATTAATTAGATGATAGTATTACAAAAGTTTTGTAGTAAAGGTCCATTAAAGTTAAACCCAAATTACTTCTTCAATAATTTAGCACATGGCCTACGCACATGGGGGGGTCCAGAAAGATGTGAACATTCTTGTCTTGAGTCCTACTGTCCTAGCATGAAAATCCAAACAATCCAAGAAAAAGGCTAAGACATGTTCGGGATTCTGCAGACAATCGTACCTCTTTTTATCGTATGCTGTGGACAATTCAAGAGTGTGAAGTGCGCCCACAAGGCTTTTTCATTTTTTTAGTAAGAGAGGATCGAGGGCGTTAGCCCAAAAACAAAAGTCTCTACAAATTAGGGGCACCAAAATTGTGGTTCTGAGTGCCGTCGGACAGGATTTTTGGTGACCACACAGGTGTTGGCTGGCCTAGGCCATGTGCCTAATTAACGGGTTAGGTTTTTGATTTTATCGTTTTGCTATTCCGAAAGTACAAGAAAAGGGCCACTCTACATATTTGGGAGTTGACATAAGGACTAACATGATCTTTTTTTTGTAATTTCAGGGACCAATTTGGTCCTTTTTTATTGTCAGGGACTAAAAAGGACTTCGTAGATATTGACAAGGACTAAAAAGGTGTTTACTCAAAAAAAAATAAACAAATAAACGTGGTGTGAGATTTTGAAAAGGAAAAAAGTTTTGTCGTTAAGTTTATGTAGGTTTAGCAATTATAACTTCGTATTAAAAATAGTATATAGTTATAATATTAAAATTATATTATTTTATTTTTTTTAGAAGCTGTCTGCTGACGTGAAAAGTAAAAAAAAATATAATTTTAATATTATAACTATAGTTATAATTGCTAAAAGACAAAATCTTGTGTCCTTTAAAATATCACACACTAAACCCTTTTCAAAAAAAATAAATAATAATAAACGTGGTTTGAGTGGTTCTGTTGTCAACAATGGGGGAATCAATAGTAGTATGTTTTGGTTCTTATAAATTTGTGTTGTATTTTCTTCAACTTAGCATTTAATTAGAAGTACAACATAACCCAATTTGTTGAATAGGAGTAACAAATAATGGAGATGAAGAAAGAGGTTACCGTAACAAGGTCTCAAAACAAAGCGAGGCTTGCCATTTTGGAAATAGCACACATGATGAGTGTCCCAATGTCTCTCGTTGCCGTCATCAAAATGAAGGTTCCCGACACCATATGGCAAGACGGTTCTAACACTCCCCTCTCTGCCGCCCAGATTATCGACCGCATTCGCCCTCACGGAGGCGCTGATGCTGAGAACCTCCAGCGCATCCTCCGCTTGCTCACCAGTTATGACATTTTTGCCGAGCACTTGAGCAGCACCGGCGAAAGAAAATACTTCCTCACCAACGTCGGCAAAACTCTTGTTGCCGATGACGAAGGTCTATCCTACGCGCCTTACATGCTCCAGCACCATCAGGTTAATTTTTTTGTTACCCTAATTTTTTAAGTTCTTTAATATATAGTTCTCTCCATTGATACTTCCTTATCTATTATATATAACTCTCAAGTGGGGTATGTGTGTTTTTGAGATGTGCATATATAGGATGCGTTGATGCGAGCTTGGCCGTTGGTGGAGGAGGCAGTGGAGGATCCAACGGTGGAGCCATTCGCGAAGGTGAACGGAGAATCAGCATTACCATATTACATGAAGCAGCCAGATATAGCGGATTTGTATCATAAGGGCTTATATGGGATGTCCGTACCCTTCATGAGGGATATGTTGGAGCTCTACGATGGCTTCCAAGGAGTGAAGACACTAGTTGACGTTGGTGGCAATTCTGGCGTGTCTCTACGCATGATAATGGAGAAACACCCAAATATACTTCAGGGCATCAACTATGATCTTCCCGATATGGTGGCTCTTGCACCACAGTTTCCAGGTTTGGGTCACTTCCATTTTGGAATGTGTGGGTTTTAATTTGTTGTTCTTAGCATAACATTAACCTAGCTACTTGTGTTGTGGCTTATATATTGTAGGTATAACCCATGTCGGTGGAGATGCGTTTGAATCTGTCCCTCCTGGGGATGCTATCTTCATGAAGGTGCCTCTCTCGCACGTTAAACTATTCGTTCAGGAAATAAGATTCAAGAAAACATTGAGAAACTATATTTCAAAAATAAATAATTGAAAAGTTGGTGTTATGACAAAGTGGGTTGTCCGCCCCGTCTCACCCGGTCATTCACCTGCTAAAAAGTAAGTCAGCCCACTTAGATTGTTTTTGAAAGTGGATTAAAAAACTCGGTCCGTCCCGCCCAGTTTGGCGAGTTGATCTGCCAGCTCGATCATATTTTACACTGAGGTGTCTTGTCTCACCTATATCCTCTAAAAAACGAACCACTCCACTCTTCTTTTGAGATGGGTTGCAAAAGTCAATCCACCCTATTTCGTTTGACGGCCAGGAGAGGTTGCCCTAGTTACAAGTATCGAGTAATGCTATTCAACATATATTGCTATTATCCCTTAAAAGAAAAGACATATATTCAACTTTGGAAAAGTATTAACTACCCGTCGCTTTTGGTTTCACATATTTCATACCTGTAGATGTGGCATCATAGAAATATATATCTGTGGAACTTGATATAAATTCAATTATAATTCGATTATTAAATTTATATATATATATATATATATATATATATATATATATATATATATAGGTTTATATTTCTGCAGCTGTTGTACGTGCAGTAATCAAATACTTGTCATATATATACTTGAAAGCATTAAATGCAGGGAATCATAACCATACTAAAGATGAAAGCATTAAATGTGAAGTCTTTGCTGTACGTAAAGCGTCTGCAGAAATAATTTTATCATATATATATATATATATATATATATATATATATATATATATATATATATATATATATATATATGCGCCTAGCATTATTGTTATATTTGTAAATAAATTGATTGTGCTTGTCTTTGGTGTTATTAAAAGTGAATTATTTGAATTGACTTTATAAATAAATTTCAAGTTTATAGTTTACTAAAACATGCTGCAATATGAATCAATTGGAAAATTAAATTTCATGTTATTAAACGTATATATTAACTTAACTTATTTTGTGTAAATGAATACATTGATCACTAGAATAGATCATAACATAACTAAGTTAATAAACGTAAATTTCTTATTTTTTATAATTAAAAATAAGATTTTATGAACACGCGCGTGCTCTTAAGAAATAAAGATGACATTAATTTATTAATTATTTTAATTACTTAAATAATAAAGTATTAAATACTTTTAAAATTGTGAAGGTATTAAATTCTAGTACTTTTCATTTAATAATTTTATAACATTTTTTTAAATAAATCATCCATAAAACTAATTAGTTTCCAATTTTTTAGGGTCGATATTCCAACATGATGTTTTGTACTAAAAAAACCTACTTAAACCTTCTCTCATCAAACTTAACATGGGAAATTTTAAAACATTAATACATAATATATATGATATATCTACTTTTGCAGTGGGTATTTTCAGGATGGACAGATGAAGAATGCAAGCAGGTCTTGGAGAATTGTTATAAGGCACTTTCAGTTGACGGAAAATTGATTGTTTGCGAGCCGGTGGCGCCAGAGTTAACCGATGAGAGTCAAAGAACACGAGCATTGCTTGCGGGTGACATATTCGTAATGACAATTACTAAGGGGAAGCACAGGACTGAACAACAATTTAAACACCTCGCCATTTCTGCTGGTTTTTCTCATTTCTGTGCCTTCTATCTTGATTCTTATTTTGCTGTACTTGAGTTTCATAAATAAGTAGGCTTTAATTTGAAGTATGGTGATATGAACTGGGGAAAAATAATTAGGAACAGTACTGAGACACTAATGGAGATTGTTCCTTATTAATAAATATTCCTCATAAGTTTAAAATATGGCTCCTTATTACTTCTGCTTTTATATTGCAGTGTTGTAATGATAGTCGCAATAGCAATACGACCTCAACTTCCATTTAAATTATTTAACATTAATTTTATTTAAGTAAAGAAAATTAAACAAATTTGACGGTTTAGTTTTTTTTTTTTTAGTTAATATATATTTTCATTAATGATTACAAAAAGTATAATATTATTTTTACTTTGTTTTCTATTTTTAAGAATTTGCGAAGATAATATTGAAAAGAGAAAAAAACAAAAATTGGTTTCACCATTTCACTCGCCACATGTTGAAAACACCAAACAGTGTGAAAGTAAGGTACCATTTTTGTAATTCTAAACAATAAAAATATATCAATTGAAAATAAAAGAAAAAAACAAGCCAAAAGCAACTTCAATATTTATAAGTATTTTATACTTGCAATTTAATCCAACTAGGGAGGAGAGATTATGATGATCTGGGCATCCCTCTTTGATCAAGTGTATGACAGTTTCTGAGTCTCCTTCCAACTAGACCTATGGAAGTGTTAGCTATAAATTATGATTATTTTAATGGCTTTATTTTTACAATATTTGAGTTGAAGGCTGAATATAAGTGCATGGTAATGGGCCAAATGAGTACCAATCAGCCCAATAAGGTAAAAGAGAGAGAAAGAGATAATTTGATAATTTACTATTCTCTTTTACTATTTTTACTGCAGTTAGAGAGCCATATGATCAACTCTTTGAAAGTGAGATCAAATCTGAACCATTAGATGGACAAAAATATGGATGGACAGCAATGCAATTTCTTGGAGCTCTTTAGTTTCTAGCTAAATAGGAGTCTGAGTCATTAGGGCCACATATAGAGAACTTTCGTTTTTTTTTAGTTTTCAGTTTTATGTTTTGAATCTTTTGTAATCTTTTTCTTTGAATCTGAGTGTTGAGAAATTCCTTGAAAGCTGAATGCTTGTTCTTCAATTCTTGTACTCGAAGTGCATTGACAACGCACTTCAAGGAAAGGAATCACGGATCTGCATGCGAGCTATTGTTTTCATACTACTGCAAGTTTTCTTCCTAGCTCTAGTTTAGGAACTTTGACTCTTGAAGAACCGGTTTGTAAACTTTTACCTTGAGTTTTCTTTCATGAATGTTTGTGATGCATGTTTCTTTACTTTTAGATTTGTAATATTTTTGAATATGGGTTTCTGATCTTTTCCTTTCTGGGATTCACGATGATTGGGTGATCTTTTATTTTTCTGAATACTGTGATGGTTTGCTTTAGTTTCATTTGATTAACAAGATTTTGATTTTAAGTTCAAGAACACCATGGGAAGGGGTCTTGAATAATTTTTGCATAACTGTGATTGGGAAATCAGGTTATGTCCCTTGTTAATTGAACCCTTGAGGTTAGGGATAATCCAAGGAGGTCTTTGATACAATTTTTAAAGATTTAGAAGACTTTGGGAAAAGATCCTTCTAAAGATTAAAATCTGGAACTGGGAAGTTTCAGATAAAATAGCCATAGTAATTCGAATTCTGATACTAAAGTGCCGTAGCAGTTATAAAACGCAGGAATGCGAAATTTTTCCTTCATCCATGATTCAAAGAGTTCCAGAACCTTATAATTGTTACATTTGTGAATAGATATCCCTCTGTAAAATTTTGTTTAATGCAAGTTTGATAAATATCTTGTTTCATTTAGTCTTTTCTTAGTTTTAAAAGATTGATCACTTAATTTCAAGAAATTAGAAATAGGAATTAAAAAAGGAAAACTAAACAAATCGTTCCCTGAGAACGATAACTCTTTCATTTGAGAAAAATACTACCCAACAAAATGGCGCCGTTGCCGGGGAACGGTGTTTGATTTAGTTTCTTTTTAAAATTCTGTCTTTTAGTTCTTGAATTTGTTTTCTTTCATTTTCATTTTTTATTTTTTCTTGAACTTACATTTCTTTGAAGATTTTGCAGATCAATAATGTTTTACTGTGAAAACAGATTGATACACTTAGCATTCTGCCAAATCTAAAAAAAAAAAAAAAAAAAAAAAGTTTGGTTGTTAAGCACTCTACAGGAGAAGCACAATGGCATTGGCAGCTCAACTAGTAGCTTTGCATAACACAATGAAGGATTTGGTCATGGTTATGGAAGAATCCAAGCAACCAGCACCTACTCCAATAGTTGCTATAGAACCTATATGCTCACTTTGTTATGGTGCCCATGCTTTTGAAGAATGCCCAAGCAACCCAACATCTGTTCTTTATGTGGGAGACTTCAACTACAATTATATCAACCACAACCAATTTGATCAGCAAGGATGGCAGAACCAAGAATGTAGTTTTGCCCAAAATCAAGGCCAAAATTACCAATACCAGCAGCCTTATCATGGATGGCATCAGTCATTTGAACCGGATGAACTTTACTCACCTTATTTTGTGCATCCTCCTTTTGCTGAAGAGCTAGAACAACCTGCTGCAGAAGCTCAGCCTCCAAATGAGCAGTGGATGAATCAGATGCTACAAAATCATGAAGTTATGCTTCAAAGTCATGGAGCTATCTTGAAGAGCCTTGAGACACAAATGGGGCAGCTTGTTTCTGCCCTTAGTAGCAGACCTTTGGAGGCACTACCAAATGACACTCAGATACTAAGAGTGGAAGGAATGGAAGCTAGTAAGACCCTCAAATTGAGGAATGACAGAGAAGTTGATCAACTTGATCCTGTTATAAGGCCATCTACTGTGAGAAAATTAATGGAGAAAGAAGGGCAACAAGAGGAAGATGCACCTTCAACCGAACCATCAACCATTCAAACTTCACATCAAGAAGAAGAAAAAGAAGAGGAAAGCACTACTGAACCATTAAGGGCAGCATTGAAATCAAATGGATTAGACAAGCCTATGCATAACATTGAGGCTCCTCAACCTTTATCAAGGGCAAGATTGCTCCCATCTCCTCAAGGTCTCCAAAAGCAGCAACAAGAGCACTATCTCTCCAACAATTTCCCATCCAAGCTGGAAAATCCAGGTTCTTTTAAAATTCCATGTGCATTAGCATATAGGTCACTTGCATACCATGGTGGAAAAATAGAGAACAAATTAGTAAAAATTTGTAGGTTTACTTTTCCAGCAAATTTTATAATAGTTGATTTTGAAGCTAACAAGGATGTGCCTATTATGTTGGATATGTCATTCTTAGTTAAAGAGGATGCTATAATTGAATTTAAAACAAGAGAATTAACCATGGGAATTAATAAGGAAAAGATGACTTTTAATGTCTTGAAAGTCATGGATAAGGATTCTAATAATTGTTCTGCTATTTCTGTTTGGGATCATCTGATTAATGATCATGTGTTTTTAAATAGTAAAAATACGAACTTTGGAGAATGCAACTTCAATCATATAGAGTTTAAACCAGACAACCCACTCTTGAAAGATTTGATTCAAAAGAAAATAATCAATTGGTTGGATACAGGACAAATTGTTCTAAATTTCAAGATAAGAATTAAATTGTTTTCATGCAAGATTCAATGGGTAAAGCATTACTGGAGGAACTATGTAAATAAAGAGAAGACTTTTATTTCTTTATTAGATGCTGGATGAAATAAAAAAGGAGTTTAATTGATTAGTTAGATAGTGTGCTTGTGTAGTTAGTACGTAGGTTAGTTTAGTATGTGAAAGCTGTCAAGTTTAGTTTAATTTTCTGAGTAGGTTTTACTAATAGTAAATTTCTTTCTTTTATAGACATTACGTAGGTTTCTCTTTTGTTTTGTTAAAAACCAAGTCATGTTGCTGTCCATAAAAGAAAATTAAAAACAAAATACGAATTTTGATTTGATAAGAGGTGAGACTGAGTAATGTTAAAGTGGATTGGTTCTACAAGTCTGATATAATAAGAAAACTTTGAAGTGCTGATTGAGTGCAGAGAATATAGACAAACCTCTTAAGTTTGGGGTAGCACAATGGGGAAGCAGAACTAGGTATTATTCTCCTTATACTATGGGTGATTGCTTGCTAAGCTTAACAATGAGGTTGATAAAGCAGTGGGGAATAGTGTGAGTGGAACCAATATATTCTAAGTTGACTTTTTGAGCAAATGACTTGTTGAATATATAAGTGAGATGTGAGGTAGAGATGATTTTGTGGCAAACTCAGCTAGTTTCTGCCCAATGTATTAGATGTGTTTGATATATCTGTTAGTTCAAGGTATTGAGTGAGGAATGCTTTCATTTGGGGGAGAGAATAATGTTATGTTTGTTAGCCCATTTGACTCCCACTCTTCCTGTCAAGAGTATCCAATGAGCCCGTAAGATGTGATAAAAATAATAACCCCATTGTGGTATTGGTAAAAAAAAATGATGAATGCTTAATAATTGAGCTGGGCTTATAAAAATTTTAATGCACATTTTGATTGCATATTTAGACATAAGAAATTATTGGGCCTCCTCAAATTTTACAGTAGCAAAAATGGGCTGATTCAAGTATCATGTTAGTTGGACCAAATATTTATTGTTATTAAAAGACCCAATCTTGAACTTGCAAGTGTTCTGTGGTTGCTCAACAACTTTGGGGATCTAACAATGTTCATAAATTTTTTCTCTTTCATCTCTTCCCTCCTTCCCATCTATTCTATAAAAAAATGTTACCGAATTGGAACAGAGAAGTGATGATTGATGACCACTGTGATGTTTTAACAATTCCAGAGTAAGTCTGAAATGGTCCTCACTGCTCAGCCATTAATGGCACCTAAATAAAGCTTATTAGGATGTTACTAGGCCTACTCTTGTGACGTGACCACTAACTGTATTTCTGAATTGGACCACTTTACTGAATTGAACCACTTTACCAAATAAAAAAAAGAGAGGTAAAACCTTTCATTTCCTCTCAAAACACCTCACCACTCTTATATGCCCTACTCTCGTCTCCGATTTCCAGAACCAAAGTTTCCTTCACAGGCTGCACATCCAAATCGTGATCCTCTTGAAGCTTGACCGAAACCTTTTTTTTTTTTTCCTTTTGATTTCCATCACACTTGTCACTGCTCACCATCTTTGTGCACTCCAACCCACTGTGTTCGGTCTGGATTTGTGAAACCCACTGAGCCTACTCGCCGCCGGTTTGCTATCAAGACCAAAAACTCATCTCGAAGTTGCTGCATGGTCAGAGCTAGCAGTTCAGTTGGAGCATGTTCGGTCAATATACACCATCTTTATGAGTTCACCGACAGCGACAGAGCTGCATCCAACATGCCATTCGCGGCTACCGAGGAAACATTTCAGGAAGCATGATCTTTGCTAACCGAGGACTCCACTCAATCAGCCTCAGTCATGGCCCCTTATGAAGACCATATTCATGGTCTCGCAGGTTTCATCTTCACATTTTTGTATATATATAACATCTGTTTAATTGATGTACATTGTGCTGACATGGTTAGAATTTTTCACTGAATAACATATTGGTTGGTTGTGTGATCTGTGACCTGTTTTGTTTGCTGTGAGGACACAACTTCCTTTTAAGTTTGGGGTGGGGTATACAGAGTATACATGCTGTGTTGATTAATTTTGCACGCTGAGTTATTAAAAAAAGAAAAAGAAAAATGAATTTTTTTTTAACTTGAACAGTAACAATTCCTTGATTTATCTATACATGTGAGCCATTAGCATCAACTCAACTGTGTTGATCTTACATATCTTATTAGCTCTGTT